TTCGCCTATAACACAGAAGGCGTCGTGCCAAAGCAACATTCCCCCTCACATGTCAGAGCTAGGCCGAACCGAAAAAACCTTGCACATCGCATGTTCTAAGAATGTACCCGAGCCTCTCACTGATCATCACTCCTAGAACACCCACCCCGAAATTCTCTCTCTTTTACAAAAAGACATGGAATAATCCAAATATCACACAAACATATTGAACCATTAACATACACCCCTTAGTCCTTACCTGGGCGCCATAGTCGTGTGCCACTCTGGTACCTGGGCGCCATAGCCGTGCTCCACGCTGTCGACCTGCACAACAACAATAACAACAACAGCAACAACCACAACAACCACCACAACAACAACTTGAACCAGAACTACAACCAACCACAACCAGAAGAAGAAGGGGAAGGGGAAGGAGAAGGGGAAGGGGAAGGGGAAGGGGAAGGGGAAAAAGAAGGAGGAGGAGGAGGAGGAGAAGGAGAAGAAGAAGGAAAAGAAGAAGAAGAAGAGGGGCGGAGGTTATACCTGCGTCAGCGGTACTTACCTGGGCGCCATAGCCATGCTCCACTTTGGTACCTGGGCGCCATAGTCGTGCTCCACGCTGTCGACCTGCACAACAACAACAACAACAACAGCAACAACCACAACAACAACCAGAACCACAACCACAACCACAACCAGAAGAAGAAGGGGAAGGGGAAGGGGAAGGGGAAGGGGAAGAAGAAGAAAGAGGAGGAGGAGGAGGAGAAGGAGGAGAAGGAGAAGAAGAAGAAAAAAAAGAAGAAGAAGAGGGGCGGAGGCCATACGTGCGTCAGCGGTACTTACCTGGGCTTCATAGCCGTGCTCCACACTGGTACCTGTGCGCCATAGCCGTGCTCCACGCTGTCGACCTGCACAACAACAACAACAACAACAACAACAACAACAACCAGGAGAAGAAGAAGAAGAAGAAGAAGAAGAAGAAGAAGAAGAAGAAGAAGAAGAAGAAGAAGAACAACAACAACAACAACAATAACAAAAACAACAAAAGCATAATGGTACACGAAGCCACTTTGAAGTCCACTTATTTGCTTTGCTAATTTTTGAAATGTGGTGGAAATTCCATAGGGACCAGTGCTAAATACCCGGTCCTACCGGGGGGTCCACCCCCAACCGGAACCGGGCCGGTGGGACCGGCCGGTCGACCGGCCCAGTTGGCCCCCGGTAGGCTATAGCGCATTCCCAAAAAAAGGCCGGTTCAAATTTTTAATGGGCCAGGAGGCCTCCCCACAGGTTGTGGGGGCCTCCTGGCCCATAAAAAA